TTACATTCGTTCTGTTAGATTATTCTATATAATAAATTGGAGGATAAAATAGATGATATTCATTGTGATGTAGAATGTGTATTGCTCTACAATATTTCGAACTCATAATGTTAATGTATAAGCAATATATTTTTTTTTCTTTTGTACATGTAATATGTACGAAGTTATATTATGAATCGTAACCTATACATCTTTCTATATATATATTTTTTTTCTATTTTATTCACATTACTATTGCAATTAATATGTATAGTACATCACTGATATATATATATAGAAAACTCTTGAAGAGGAATCTGTGGAATGTAAGTATTAGTGTTATGAATAAACAATAAGAAGCTGCTAACTTCGTTTCTTATTNCTCTACAATATTTCGAACTCATAATGTTAATGTATAAGCAATATATTTTTTTTTCTTTTGTACATGTAATATGTACGAAGTTATATTATGAATCGCAACCTATACATCTTTCTATGTATATTTTTTTCTTTATGTTATATAAGGATATAAATATTTGATTGGATCAAATTGAATTTCACTTCTATATAACTATTTTTATGGTGTACTATTGCAAATTTTGACGTTTCAACAGTTTTGTATAAAAAAATATATGAAAATTGAAAAATATATTAAAAAAAATTGTAACTTTTCAATATTTTCTTGATCTATTGTAAACGAAATCAATTTATTTATTTATTATTGTATCCTGTTTACTAAAAGTAACAAGAATTTTTACTTCTTATAGAGAATATTTTGTAAATTTGTGGAAATTTTAAAACTTTTGTCACGGTCGAAATAAGATTTTTCTTTGTGTAAGAAATAAGATAAGAAAGAAAGATGTCTTCTTTCCATGATTGTCGTTTCGATGCCGAACTAAACACGGTTTTGCTATGTTGTTTTTATTCTGTTGTTTATTCTTTGTTGGTTTCTTGTGAAGCAAGATGGCTGCCAGAATATACGTGCGCTATCAATGATCGTACGTGCGCCTTTTACACAACTATCAAAAGTTATAATAGAAAAAGATTAAATGGTAGAAAGTGAGGAAGAACTTATCTCTATTTTTTTTTTCTTTTTTTACCTCGTTTCGTTATAGATATAGAAAAATGGCTTTCATCCAGAAAAGATGCTATTTTGATTTTCGTTTAAGAAAGATTTTATTTATTTTTTTCTCGGTTTATGATCAATGAAACAGTTCATCATCACATCTAATTTGTAGTTTGGAAAGTCAATCGAATGAAGTAGCATATGGCGTAAAGATGGGAAAGAGATCAGATAATATTCAGTAAAAGAAGGGTGCAAATCCCATCAGATATAGGACACGACAATATAGGACAGTCACCCGTCCTGTCAGGTAAGTGACAGATTAGGAAGTTGGATCGGAAGCTAATAAATTCGATCGGAAGTTGACAGGAGAAGTTTCTGACCTCCAGTCTTGGCAAATAAGTAGGATGGGATTGGAGAAATGATTCTTCTAGATTGAGCTTGATGGAGATAATGTCTAGTAGGGCTTCTTTAAGGACCTAATGATTATCGAGGCGATATTTTATGATAATGATAAATGTGAAGTACGAAAAGATTGGTGGTAGAATACGAAAATGTTTTTCTGGAATTATCTTCTGAAAGAATTTAGTTTATTAAAGAATACTTGATTAAAATATTACAAAGGCGTACCAAACTAATTTGATTTATTATAGTCTATAATATAAACGAATTTAATATTTATCAAATTGATCGTAAATGATCATTAAGTAAGACTCTTTTTTCTGGAATAGAGAAACGTCTTCATCACTATAAACAGGAAAACTTTCAGCTGGTTACTGCTTAATATGGCACTTCGCTCCATTAAATAAAACTACAGCTGACGGAATAAAACGTGGTGTCTAGATTCTTTTTTTTCGTGTAAATTATTCTTAATTGTGATACAATTCAGCTCGTTGTAATATAATTAGGTAGTGGCATTGATTTCTTTGTCACGTCTATGATAAAGGTCTGTAACCTGATCCATAGTCATAGGTTTAGGAAGTTTTAATTATAATTAAAATGTCGATAAAAACTCTTTCTTAATTGAAGTATTACGTGTTTGTGCATAAAATATAATCATTATTCTTTAACTCATCAGAATGATAAACAGTTTTACTTCAACCTCAAGGTAATTTGATATGTAAAATTATACGACCATTTTCTTCGGTTGACAGTTATGTATTAACTTTTTAACTAAAGAAGTACAAGAGGAAAAAAAAATGTTCTACCGTTGAAGAAATTTTGGACATTAATATTACTCCCTTCACTTTTTTTTTACCATCAAAATTTTGGCATTATTGGTCAATGAAAAGAGTTTTAATATCCGAAAAACAGAATTTAATAAAAATAAATGATGTTTAAAAAAATAATATTAATATATGGAAATTACGTCACGTATGAAGAATTTTCTAAAGTTCTTTTTAAACACGTTTCCTGTAGTATAATGTAAGTTCTGGAGTTATATTTTTCTTGATTTTTTTTTAGTGTTTAAGTTAGTAATAAAATATAGGAAAAGTCGTTAAAAAAAAAAGCTACTAGAAAACGAAATTTTAAAATTCTTTAAACATTTCAGAAAATATTTGTACTTAGAATTTTATTGAAAAAGTTCTAGAAAATCCAACGTAATTTTCATAATGTAATTCAAGAAATTTTCGAAATTTTGTCATCACATTAATCATAAAAGTCTGTATTCTCATTATAGCTGAAAAATCGTTATATTTGGCAATGAGTTTTTTCTTCTTTTTCTTATATATTTTCTCGATTTAATCATTTAGAAAAGTAGATTTTAATCTCTTAAAACTTGTTCGAAGTTGACAAAGTGAAAAAAAAAAAAAATTGTTAAAACTTGTTTGATTCTTGTAATACGATCATCAGAATACTTTTATCGAATCAATAGTTTTGAATCTGGATCAAAGGTAAGCTTTTAGTAAATGGTATTGCATTAAGACCAGCAATGCACAGTTGCCTAGAATAACACGTTTGAGTAATTACCACGGAATTGATTTCTGTAGTTTCTTAGTGCACTTAATGGGAATCCGAGCAAGCGAGACTAGTAACTTTAATGCACATCCCACTGTGTTTAATTTTCCAATCAACTTATTGATTTTTACGTGATAATGATTTTAAACTTTCATAAGAAATAGCTTCGACTAATAGCCTTTTTTTTTTCTTTATTTTATCGTCTTCTATCGTAAAAATTCCATTGTTTTCTTTTAGTCTATTGTTCTCTTCCACGTTTCTCACTTTACAAAATTGACATTTCCTCTTAATAAATCTATTCGAGAGTTATAAAATGTAAAAGGTAGCATTTAGCTATTTAAATTTAAGTTTAAATCTCGGTATATTATTATATAATAAATTATAAGAGCTTTATTTTAATGATATCAAGAGTCATTGTTAATTAGAAAAGATTTAGCAACAGTTATATCTGATGTAACTCTTATAGTATTTTAGCGGATTGTCCGGCATGTCGGTCTATCCGCAAAAATATGATAGAACGGAAGTAAAAGTACGTGAAAGGAAGCTCAATATATTTTTTGTGAACGTGACAACAGGGAAATGCCTATAATTTCGATTTTCGAAATAGATGCTACTTGTGTGTATGCTATTTGTAAACATCGCGTATGTTGTCATTGGTATTTCACAATGATTCGAAACCTTTAACTCGCCCATGTTGACCATTGGGAAGAATAAAATGACAAGAATAGGAAAACGTGCTTGAAAAAAATTCCAATTCGCATGCAACTCGTAAAATTGCATTTGAAATAGGATCGTGTCGTGAATTTATTGCTTAAGTCTTTAAGTCTTCGTAGTCAAATTGACCAGGATATACAGAAGTAAAGTAAAGATACAAATGGATTCGGTTTAAAACCTCTTTCTCACCAACTTTACTTTTTGACAAACGGTGCGGAATGAAAACAAAAATCCAGTTGGAAGATGCGAAATATTTTCTGGACTTGTTCACATTTTATTTTATTTTTTATTTTTTATTTCACTTTAAACAACTTACTCCAGTCTGGACATATTCCATTATATAAAAGCAATAGAAGGTGTGTGTTTTTTCCCCCCTTCTTCTTTTGCAAAAATTCCGCCTAAACTTATTCAAGAATGGGATTGAATAAGAAAATGTTTAGTGTAGCATGGGGAAACTTATCTGACAGTTGGCTGAAGATTTTTGCCTGAAGTAAAAAAAAAAGAAGAAGAAATCTTAAATAAAACGTATATCTATAAGGAAGATGGAATCCGACAGAATTTAAGATTTGTTTCAGCTATAAATTAGCTCTAATGTTAAATCTGAACTATTCTTTTGAAATTCAATTCTTTGATATAAGTCTTATATCTTTAAAGTACTATTTAGATATAATATAAATATTTTGGAAATATATATATATATTATAAATTCTTCGCGGAAATTTTATCGAAATCTTGTAAAGTATTTTCTTTCGTTTTTCTTTTAAATCTCCACAGTATTCTTGTAAATCTCAATATTATTGATGTTTTATTTATAAAATATGTTTTATTTTCTTTCGTTTATATATCTGTATAGTATATATATATATATGTTTTTTCTTTCTCCAGCGGCGAACTTTCTATATTTTCGAGTTCTTCCTTTCGAACGAAACGTGTCAAGGAAATCGTATTCTGCTACACGCGAGGCATCTTGTTTACCGAGAATTTTGTAACAAGAAATTTTTGTTATTGTCAGAAACAGTGCAGTTGACAGCCTAATATCTGTCACCATTCTTCTGTCATGTGACAGCAACCGGTGCCGGTTTGTCACTTGTCTTGTCTTATTTCTAATTGTTTTTCGAACTGTTTCGAGAAACACAAGATGTTCCTTGACAAGTAACATACTGATCTATCTTTTACAATACAAGGAGAGAGAGAGAGAGAAAAAAAAAAAGAGAGAGAGAATAATAAATACTTAATCTCTGATCACGTTTCTAGACTAATTATTTTACAATTTTTTTTTGTTTAGTTTTTCGAATTGGTAAATAAAGATAAAGTGCTTCCAGAAATGCTACAAAAGAAAACTGCAACGGTTTTTGCACCCACTTCTTCAGCAATAGAAGCTGCGAAATGGATAACGAAGGATGAAGATAAAATTGCTGCTTATCACGTGGGTAAGTTCTAAAGATTTATTCCTACTCGTACAGATTTACATATAGCCTGGCATGCATATTAATCTCTTCTACATTGCAGTATGATACACCTACTTAGCTATAAAAGTCGAGATGAAGTGATAACATCTACTATTAAACTTGCAAAATGCACGTACAAGACGTAATCAATGAAATTAGATAACCTACACGCTTCGAGATAGCCATTCAAAACCATAAATGATATCATTAGAATGTTACATCTTATATAATTTTGTTAATATTTTATTAAAAAAAAAAAGCTAAGTAACATTATTAAAATTTAAAATTTTTAAACTAATATATTAAAAAAAATACTACACATCAAGTAATTTTAATGATTAAAAATAAAAACACAAAGTAATTTTAAATATTTTTAAAAAAAAAAAATGTTATTCTACTTAATATAAAATTTTATTTTTCACAAATTCATAATTTAAAAAGAATTTTTAGTCGATTTTACTCAAATATTTTGGAATAATGCCATAAGAAAATGAGGATAGAAGACTTTTAACTACTTTCTTCGTATGGCATTGATGATGTAATTGTATAATAGTGTCATAAAAAGGGGAAAATAAACAGTAAAACATTAAATGTAGAATTTCATGTGCAGCTTTTCCCACCGTAATGTTTTTAACATACACCTATTTAAAAAAAAAAAAAATACGGCATTTGAATATTTCATAAGAAACAATCTTCTGGTTACATTACAATACAAAGGCATTAGATGCGGCCCTATATTGAATGAATAAAGTAGCGTAGATCTATATAGTAACAAAACATCTCGATAAATCTTCACTTACAGCAGTAAACGAAGAATGTCTCCGAGGTAACATAACCCCATCTCGAAAGTAATTTCCTACACAGAGAAGTTTTACAAATTACTCATGTTTCTTTCCAAAGTTGCAAGTATCGATTAGTGTCTGTTTTTGTGAAGTGTTTCTCCCAAGGCAGTTGTTTAAAACATGCAGAAGCGAACTAAATGGTAGAGTATATGACAAATACTAATGCCACTCTATTTTTGCAATGGTAACTCCCATAAGAGAATAGTAGTATCGTTTCGGGAGTTTTCCTTCCACCTGATTTTCCCTTTCGTTTAATTGACATGTCTTTCAAAAATTTCTATATTTTAAAGTAATTTATGTATCAGAATAACTGATTTATATTTTTTTAAATAAAATTAAAATATTTTATTATTATTATTATTATTTTCTTAGCTATAACGTTAGCAATGAAGAGTAGCTTTCCCACTCATTTGTCATCTTATTCGAGTGGTGCACCACCATTACAGCTGACTATATACGAAAATGAAGACACAGGAAAAACGGTAACATTATTATTATTATTATTTTAAAAAAAATTAATTTAATCTTATAGATATTCATTGAATATTACATTTGTTTCGAGCGTAAAATTAGTACTGAAAAAATTCAAAGCGGCACGCGTAATGTTATTCCATTATTTATCTACACTTGAAATATATGATTTATAAGCGGTAATATAATCCTTATAAATGAAAATTAACATTACTCTCACGTATCTTTAGATGCAAGATTATTTTCACGTCCTAAAATAAACGATTATTCGCTAGAATAAAACGAATAACGATTAGTCGTGCACATTGGACAAGAATATTTTAAAGGATTCGATTAGAAGTATCAAGTTCATTGAAATCTCTGCATTTATCGATTCGAACCTCTCTATAATTCATGTCAAATAAAGAAAACAAAAGAATAAATGTAGAATATTTCTACATATTAAAGAGAACAAATGTGGACAAAAGCATTCCCTAAAGTACACAGAAATGTCATTTGAAAGACTACTGAAACGCAAAATTACTCTTTATTCCTTTATGTAAATAACTTTTATAAAAATTCGAAAAACATTAAATTTATTTTACCATTTTCCATTGTAAAAGACATTTTTGTTTACAACTACAAAAGAAAAGTAAAAAAAAATATAGTAGTAATTCTTTGAACGATTTAACTTGATGCCATTTCGATAGAGACATAACAAAGATTATAAATCTAAGGTATCATTTCTTAAAATATTTCTTTATGCAAACGAATATAACTAATCGTTTCAATCGTAACTGTCTCTGCATAGATGATCATAAATTTTCTCTCGAAATTACCTTAGAGAATTGAAATGGCCTGGATTGTAACCGAGAGAGATCGTTTCGATCAAATCACAAAATGATAATTGAAGGTACTTCTCTAAAATTATATTCACAGTAATTAATCATTCGTCTATCAAATCTAATTAAAGGTAGATGACTATAATAAATAAAATTCTAACGTTTTAATCTTAAATAATCGTCCAATTTGGCGAATTTTTCTTTATCTTATAGACTTAGTTCATCCTCCATATGTATACATACCAGTAGCCCTGGAGAGGATATAAAATTATATAGATTTTCAGATATAATGGTCATACGAATTGTGTGATAGTGGACACAAGTCACGGTTCTTTCACTCTTAAATTCGACTTGTGACCAATTGCAGATAAATCTGTATCAAATCAGCAATATTTTTACTTCTTGTACACGTGTTATGAAGTACGAGTATGTAATATTTAACTAGAATACACACTTTAAATATATATATAGGCTATATTAGATGGACTCTGTATACTTTATGTCTATTTATTTAATTATTTTTCAAGCATATTTATGGAATAATTTTGTATAATTTTTCATTTTTTGCTTCGATAAAAAAATCTGTATTGTAAAATTAATGAGTCATAACATTAAAAGTTGCTGAAATTTTTGCTGTTTGGTATAAGAAATTCCAATTAAAACTATTGTTTTTAATTAATTAATATAATAAAATTTAAAGAAATTTCCATAAAATATTGAAAATTATTCATTTTAAAATAATATCTCACATATTTTTACTGTTTCAATCATTTTTGTCGAGTAAAGTAGCAATCAAGTAGAACAAACAGATGTTACTAATGTTCAATTTTGAATACAATTTAGGGAGTAAGCACACGTAAAGAAATCATAAAATATTATTCAATTATATACTTTCTAATATTTAGGAATATTTTGTCAACAATGCTAAAATCATAAGAGAAAATACGTACTTCACAGAAGAAGGAATGAAACAACTACTCTACGTTATCGATGACATTATGGAGCTGTACATTCCGAAAAATAATTTACCACCGACGGCATTAAGTCTCCTAAAACAACCTAAAATATACGACATCAGTAAAACATTTGAGTGAGTAATATTTTAATAAAATTATATATTTTTTTTCTATTTTATTCACATTACTATTGCAATTAATATGTATAGTACATCACTGATATATATATATAGAAAACTCTTGAAGAGGAATCTGTGGAATGTAAGTATTAGTGTTATGAATAAACAATAAGAAGCTGCTAACTTCGTTTCTTATTTATATACATGCCTAACATATACGGGATAATGGTAATAATATGATTATGAACATGAACACTCGCTGTAGTGACTTATGAAGTATGAAACTTTTATATACATTATACGTAAGATATAGAACTTCATTTCTATAATGTCTAGAAATGTAATTTTATATATAGATGTGTAAATTAATGAAGTTCAGTGATTAATTCTATTCACATATTACGTTAAAGGATATATATATATGCAAAATTAAATCGAATATTTTCTGTTAATTGTAAAGCAGTGCCCAGTATAATTATACGTATCAATATTAATACAATACTGAGCACAATCAATATGCATGGCATAATATTGAACGAAATTACCTTTTGTATATTAATGGGCATGTAATATTAATATTCTTTAACGTAATAAATACAACTGAATTTTTCAAAAACTCTTCAAAGAATGTTGTAATATTAAAGTAAATGTTATATTTGATCTCTAAGGACGTGATCGTAGTTTATATTTCTTTTAAATTTATAAAAACATAGTCAAAATTTCTTGTTTTTTCCTCCCTTATATTGATAGTTATTTTCTTATGTTGTGTATTCTTTTCTAGTTACAAAGTTTTTTCAGTTAATTAAACTCTTGTTTCTCTTATAAAGAAGAGTTTTGTCTTCTTGAACAGTAAAACAATATGAATTTAAAGTTTATATTCTTTCAAACATTATCCTGTTTTTTCCGAATTTAAAAGAATAATCTATTCATTGAAGGGTTAAAAAAAAGAAAACACTAAAATTTCGTATTTATTTGGCATCCAATTATTTTTAATTCATCAACCGAATATAATACTCTTTGTATTTATTTATTCTCTTTTATGAGATTATCAATAAGATATATATATATATATATATATTTTAAATATTCGATTTACTCTATAAAAGTTTCAAGTGCCGAATAAGAAAAACGATTTTATAACCCTTATAATTTAATACTTTAATTATACAAATTAATTATTTTCCTGAGCGTTATACGCGATTAAAGCAACGACGTGAATAGGAGAGAATACTCAATAAATAATCTAAAGACTGTACGAAAAGAATAAACAAGAATAATACCCATTGAAAAGATTTATAACTATACAATGAGATCAAACAGAGTAAAATGCATTGGAGATTTGGTATTGGAATACATTTTATAAACAATAAATAGTACTAGAACGTGCACATAAAACACAAAATAAACTTGAAAAATGTATAGATATGTGTAATAAATATATAGAATATATTATAAAATTTTTTAATACATTATATAGATTTTTAAGTTATGATGCTAGCAAATAATAAGTTTTAAGAATTAAATTTGTAAAAACGAAATACAAGTCAACCCCCTATAACACTTGATAATTCCATTTTATATGAATTCCATGTTGTACGAGTCACTTAGATTTTACAAGTACATGAGCCATTTACAGCCCAGCACACATATTTATAAAATCTAAGTGACTCGTACAACATGGAATTCATATAAAATGGAATTATCAACAGCGTTATAGGGGGGTCGACTGTAATATCAAAAATTTATATGTCTACAGTAGAGATTTATAAAGGTTTTTCGATCTGGAAGGTTATAGAGTTATATTAAGAGTCATTCTAGATAAAATTAAAGAGAATTTAAAAAAAAATACTTACAAAAGTAATTAGTGTTTACATCGTCATTTCATTTCTATATCCTCCACTTTTAATTGTTTTATGATTAAGAGAGAGAGATGGAAGCGAATCGAGATAGAAAAATATATTTAAAAAAATAAAATAACCGTTTTATCTTCATACCAAAGCGAAAAATTAATAATTATTATTTCTGAGTTCCAGCCAAATTTTTGATTTAGTACATTTTATTCAGAGGAGGAAGAAAGAATATGATTTTTCATTTCTTAAATATTTGATGACCACATAAAAACGGATCGATAACTTCATATAATAAAGAATTGTCATAATAAAAAATAGAGTTTCATGATATTTGATCTTGTCTAATCTTAACTTTATCATTTCCCTTCAACTTTTCTTATTTATTAACATAAATATACCGTTTTCTTCTGTTGGTTACACCAAAGACTTTACGAGTTAAGATCTACCGAAATCGTTAAATATAAACGATGTATACTACGTAAACTGAAAAGAATAAAACTGAAAACAAATCCCTTGATATGAATTGAAGAGAATTAGCCAATAGGGATAGGCAACTCTCATTTGGTCAATTGATGTAGAGCGATTCTCCAGAGCATCAAACCTAAAGATATTGTATCAATTGACCTCGTCTCATTGTAAGTCCATTCGTCAAATTTAATCATTAAATTACTCTTATTCGTATTTCTTTCTCTTCCATACGGGCTTATTTTTTCCTTTTTTTTTTTTTCGTTGAGGTATTTGCAATGAGGTATCGATAAAATACTTTAGTTGTAGTGGAAATTCATCCGTATCTCTCAGAGCGGTAATTGTTGTGAATTTCATGATCTGGAAAATCACAAAAACGTCCAATCCGTGACGTGACCCATTTTTAGCTCGTTGAGAAAAAAAGCCACGTTGACTCTTAACTGTTATGTTATTGCCAAAACATAAAATACTTTGCTGTAATTTTTTTTCTTCCTTCCTTCCTGTTTTTCTCGTCGATGAGTATTTTGATATTTAATATCTTTATATATAAATATGTTATATTTATTCTGAAAATTTCTCATTGCACATAATAAATAATTCATTTTGAAGCGTAAAAACTGAAGAAACATTAAATTTCGATGTAAGCCATCCTTTTCTCTCCAAGAAAATGTCTGATCGAAATTTAATGTTTCTACAATATCTAGATCGAAAAATGAAGTGCAAAATAAGTGAAAAGAATAACCGCTTGGCATTTTTTTTTTTGGTAATTTAAACAATAGATTATTTACAGTAATTTTTTTATGATTTTGTGTATCACTTGATGAATTATAGATGATTAGAGAAAATATTTAAACAATGGTCAAAAGTTAATTTATTATTTTAACGTAGAAATTTAACCAAATTTGAGGTTCGTCATTTGCGGTTCCTCTGTTCTGCGTGTCTATACGTGCTCGACCATCACCATAGCAACCATTGTACAGGAAATTTCTCTTAACTTTCTTGATCACGTGATGTGAATATGGCTTACCCACAGAGAATATGATCTTATCATCATCGCTGTTTCTATACGATGTTTACTTAATTGTGGATTTCGTATTGTATATTATAGTGCATAAACCTGTCGACTACGATCTTTATTTTGAAGAACCCCAAAGAATCTCAAAGAATGAACCTCAAGGTTTTTAATTTTTGGACTCAGAAGACCTTTGAAACATCCTGAAATGAAAAAAAATTGAGTGTTTTTTCTGTATGTATAGATGTTAGTGTGTGTGGAGAGGGCACGATTTTATCCACCCTCTTTGAACCTTAATAACTCCTGTGCCTTTTGTCGAAAATTTCTGAAATTTTGCAAAGAAATTTGCGTATTAGGAGAATTGATACTATTAAATTTTAGTAGTTAAAGGTCGACGAGGTGGAGAGATAGAGAAGGTCGTGTGTTATGATTAAAATACAATTTTATACAAGAATATTGTAGAAAAAGTTTGATATAGAAAAACAACAACTTTTGTATATTTTTGACTCTTTTATTTGATTTTTTAAAATAGAATTTATATAATAATATAGCTTTTAGATAGAATACTTACAGCTAATTTTTATTTTATTTATATCACGTTTTGTCATGGACATCATTTTTTTGAATTTCTTTTCAAGACAGGAGCTTGTAAATTGTTAATTTCGCAAATTGCTTTATGAAAAACACAAGGAATTTTTAAGTCGTACGATATTTATTAAAGTTCTAATCAAGCACTTTTGTAAGCGATAATAATTCTGGAAATATTTGATAAGTGGTGAAATGAAGTGCATTATATAAATAAGAAATGACATCAACAAGACAAAACACGTATTTGACTACTGGAGAAGAATTCTAGATCAGCCTAAATGACTCTTATCACTTGAAAACATCTTGAATTCTGAAATTGCCTTTTGAATAACAAGTCAGTTTGAAAGTTTCCAAACTTTCGAAGTGTTATTTTGAATAAAATTCTTGGTATTGTTTTTTCTTTGATGTATTGTTACCTTATGAAGCGTGCTTTTACTATAAAAATTCGAGTTAAAATAATACGTATTATGCCTCTTTTTCTTCTGTGTAGAAACAAAAAAAAATAAAAAATAAAGCCATGAATATTTCTTAAAATTTTCTTCTTATCTTAACACAATACGAGATTAAATTTGATAGACTCTCTCCCATCCCAAAGATATGAAAGAATTGAATACTTAGTCTATGAAACGTAAACTTTTCGATATTACAGGGGGAAAAAAAGAAGTACAGTACCAGTTATATCCAGGCTTATATCAGTTTTCAATACTTTAAGACTTCTTTAAAAATCTTAACATATGGAAATTTACAAAAGTAGAATTTTTGCCATTCAAGCAAAATTTTTATCTCTGTAAAAATTGTAGTAGTCTATCTATTGTTATCCGAAAGGAAGACGTGATACAACAATTTGTTTCGAGATGCTGCAATCCGTTTACAAGTCAATCTCCCGCAGTGAGTGTCTTTAGCATTCTACAAAACATTTCACTTGTATCTGTACATCTGAGAATGAACAGGACCATTCCTGTCTTTCCTTTTACAACTTATTGTACTGAAAAGCATCAATGCCTTTTTCTGCTGGAAGACAGGAGAAGAAAGAACAAACCCCCTATTTTTTTTTCTATTTTATATATTTTTGTGGTTTTGTTTCGTTTACGCGAATTTATACAGGTAAAAAGTTTAACAATAATTATTCTTTCTTTCCTCTATTAAAATAATGAGAAAGTTTGGATGGAAAAACCAGTTGTTCCTGCTCCAACCTATTAACTTTAATTACATAAAAGTTAAAATCTATTCTAAGAAATACAATAAATTTCTTTAAAGGTATGTTTATTTGACTAATTTTATACAAGTTTAATAATTACAGTAATTATTTAGTTTTTAATATTAAACAGATTGTTCGTCTATGGGAAATTCCACAAGTGGTGTCCATTTTACATCCGAACGACCATAATAATAAATACGGAAATTATTTTAACGAGATTTATCTAATTGTTTATTTGTTTAATAGTTTTTTTTCCTCTTAGATTCTCGATTATCCGTGTATTCAAATGATTGGGTGAAAACCGTGATATCACTTATTACTTCCTCCTCCAAGAGTGAAGTGTGGTCCAAATCGGCATATGGCATCGATTTCTCATTAACAAGACCGATTATGTTGACAGTCGACTTCCATCTGTTGTAGCAACCGATTTTATCTAAATTTGAATACAGATCTTTGTCTTCACCAGATGGTGTCTAGTTTGATGTGGCTTTAGATTTATTTTCTCTACTTCTTCCTATGATGATTACTTTTAAAATAAAATATAGAAAAACATAGACACGATATTTTTCTATAAGTATTTTTGTTCTCGGGGATAAAAATAAAATACCTTCTTTATTGTAGAAAAAAAAAAAAGTAAAACTTGTCTCTAGGCTATTTTGCTAACAATTCTAAGTCTCTGATGTAGCTAAATTTTATACTTTTCTTGTAAGATGGAGTGTTTTTTTTTTTCTTTTTATTTCATGCAAATATCCATGTTGATCTAAAAGGAATTATTTGTCGTGTTTACTTTGTGTTCTCATTCAAAATTTCTATGAAAAATGCATTTTTCTGTTGTATCAACATTGGCTCAATCTTTTTTGACTTTATCTATCCTTTTCAGGGTGTTTGTTTCACGTACGAGATCAGTAAATGAAGAAGAATTGTTTCAGCGAGTTGGTCAACATACTTATTTTCTGCCTCAAGGTCGTGCCAAAGAACAGAATTACGACATACAACAAGAAATTGATAAATGGGTAAGCTACAAATAAGATAAAACTTTTACATTCCTTTCTAATATATCTGTATTTTTTTTTATGTATACATATGTATATATGTAAAGTAATATAAAAACGATTCTGAATCAAATAAATAATTGAAGTTGCATACTTTGAAAGGATATAATTACATTCGAACTAGTTGTGTCGTGTACAATCGCTGCCAGAGAAAATTACTGCTTTTCATCTAGCTAACTCGAAGAAGAATTGTCTCGATTTCTGACAGGGACTAATTTCCTTTATCCTTTGCCAGGATTACCTGCATTTCTGATGAAAGCTCGTTTCTTACAAGTAAAGCCAATTGTAATGAATCGCAGCTAGGATCAGATGTAACTGCGCTTTTCTGGGTATCAATAAAAGTAATCAGTGTTTATCGATTTCGTTATATCTAACGAAATTCAAACCAAGAAACATTAAAACGGTTAATTTAATCTTAAAACTCAGCGGTTAACGCGCTACGTTAACTTTTTAACAACTCAAGCAAATTAATCACGGGAGATTCTTCCCTTTATTTTTATCTTTTTTCCTCCCTTTTCTAGGTGATTCGTGGTCATGTTATCCCCAATCACGTTCTCTTCACTAGAACCATGGGGCGAAAAGCTTATCGATCGGAAGCATACGAAGATAATTTAAAAGTGAAATTATCTTTAATAAACAGAACAAATGAAAACGACGACGACGGATATAGTCGTAAGTTTGATTTTCTCCGTTGAGTTATGAGTATAAAGTTGACAGTTAAAATGACTTTGGTGCGAGAGTTGAATCCTCTTGACATTAAGAGACTCGTGACAAGTTAAATCGTTACATTACATAATTTGCCAAGTATTGTTCAACTAAAGTTAAAGATTAAAATATATTATTAAATTTTTACAGTATACATTCAGAGCAATACCATCCAAAGCGATTATACTCATAGGAAAGGTGTAGTTTACTCCAAGATACTTCACGCTAACATTCCTGTTGCTAACGGTGTAGTTCATATTATTGAGGTCCCTTTAATGATAATCGAAAAAACCATTTGGCAAATTTTGGAAGAAGAAAAGAATAACAGACTATCGTTAAGTTTCGAGTTTCTTTATTATTATTATTATTTTAAATAATTTATTTTTAGTATCGAATAATCTAACTTATACATTTATTTCCAGGAAATTCTATAATTTAATAAAGGATCAACCGGAATTTATTGCCAAATTACAAAGCAGTTTACCTGTTAAGACTTTATTCATACCTAGTAACGATGCCATCAGCAGCATCAGTGATGAAAAGTTCGCCATGTTGAAAGAGAACGACACAGAATTTTCTCTTGTAATTTTATATTTTAATAACCAAAAAAATCTATTCATTTATTAGTTTAAATAAATCTTATTAATTTTTTTATTAATATAAATTCAAAATTAATTTATATTAAACGTAATAATCCGATTAAACGAGAACAAAAAAAGAAAAATCTTAATCAATCATCTAACGAAGAATTTTAGAATAATTTTAAATATTTAATTTATTGTAATCGTTAAAATAAATTAATACTTTTATTTTATTTTATTTTAGCTTTTAGGTTTGCATTTAGTATTTAAATCTATATCTACGGAAGAAGTTTTGACCAAACAGATAGTGGAAGAGCGCAGTTTTGATAATCGGAGAGGATTATATTTTCGTGTTGTTGGAGATAAAAATAAAAGTAAGAATCCTTAAACGTATAAAAAAAAATAATAATAATAATTGAAATGAAAATTTATAGATAGATTTTACACAGATGTGACTCTCACTGTTGAGGGTGGAGGAGTTAACGCTACTGTCATCGAAGCGGATATCGGAGCCACAAATGGGATGGTTCACATCATAAATAGGGTCCTGGGTATGCCTTCTATGACCGTTTACGAAAAATTGGAATCTGATCCGGATCTCAGGTAAACTTATCTTAAAAAAAAGTATTTTCAACTTTAAATAATTTCTAGTTTTTAATCTCTTGAGCACACCTGACCTATTTTCGAGATAGCTTTCATTCTTTTTTTTCGGCTCTGTTAGATTTTCTTACGGTTGAATAAAAGTTCCTTTCAAATGCGATTAATTTGATAAAGATTCTGATAAAAATTCAATAATATTAACTCGTTATTAGTTTCTAACTGTCTGCAGTATTTAAATGAAATCGTATAGGATCTGTAGTTTAGAATTGAAGTTGATTTCTATTTGCCGTCGATAGAAATTATTTTAAATCTAATATTTGTAAATACTACAAAATTGCAAGATTACGTAAAAAAAAATTATAGTTTGTGTGGATTTAAAAAATATTTTTTAAATTTAATTGTTTTTCAGTGGCGCGTTATCCTATGGGCAAAAAAAGGGGTAATTTCCTGAGTACCCCACCCAAAAGGGGGGTCCAAACCAATCTTTTATAAAGAAGTAAAAATGCCTGAATTCAATACTACACGGAGTCCCCTAATTCAAATTCGCTGGGCTCCAAGAAGCTATAACGTGCCACTGAAATCTTTCAGATTTTATTGATAAATATTTAATTGTTTTAAATATATTTAGAACAACATTTAATATAAGCCACCTCGATGATTGGAACTGGCAATTAATGGATAAAACTAAGCAATATACTTTCTTCTGCCCCGCTGAAGAAGCATGGAAATTTATGTCTATAGAAATGCCGACTTCTTACAAACAAATGAGAATGACGGAATTTCCACATCACGTCCATAAAGTAATAAATTTAATTTATAAAATTCCGTTACGATAATATGAAAGAATTCTTTAAAAAAAGTATTTTCTTCCCTTAGATACTCGATCGCCATTTGATGATAGGAGAAGAATTATCTACGCAAGAACTTGTGAATCGTGGAGAAATTCAAATGATTCATGGAATTTTTAAAGTCGAACAGCAGAGTGGTAAGTATAATTTTGTGAGAATAAAAATAAAAATAAAGTTCAAAAAATTCTAACTGAGTTTATTTCAGTTAATGTCACTACCGTCGAGTGGGAAGGAAAGAAGTCTCGCATCATTAAAGCTAATGTCCAAGCGACTAATGGTGTGATCCATGTGATCGATCGAGTAATGATGAAACCACGTGATTTAAAGAAAGGAGGCGCGTACATTATTGCAGCTAGTCATGTGTTAATTAATATATGTCTACTGACTGCATATATGTTGTTTTAGACGATCAACACTGCCGTGTACCACAAAGACCAATGCTAAAAGCTGATTACCCGGTGTCCCTCAACCTGATCACGTCAAGTAAGGGGACACTGGTACTCCTAGCAGCCGGAGCCAAAAAAAAAAAATCCCAAAAAATATGGCTCTGCTAAAGGACTACAGATCCTAGAATGTGTACATATTACCTCACAGTAATCGACCATAGTTGCTCCTGTCACTGTAGAAACAGCTTGACAACTGTCAACGATGGTGGCTCCCCAAAATTCAGATTCGATACTTGCCGCCATCTTGTATTGTGTGCTTCATGGCGTGTCGTAAATTTAATCTCTTTGACCCACTTCATGCTGTTCCTATACGTTGTTTCTATTATGTTCTGTTCATTCTTCGATAATAAAAAAAAGTTAAAAAAAAAATAATGTGATGCCCTTACCGTGAAACTTGGGCAAAATGTACGTATTATTATTAATTTGTATTTAAAAAAACAAATCAGTGAGATTATTATGAAGAGACGACAGCATTGTTGCTTCGATATCGATGTTGCCATTTTAGATTAGGAGATATCTGTACGACAAAAGCCACACACACACACAATAGTCAACAAGTATGTAGTTAGACTTTGAACCACAAAACAGTAGGCTTCAGAATTTAGTTTAAAAGCATCAAATAATCACCATCCATGAGTGTGTTTCTTACGTTTTATGAATGTTAAAAAGGGTTTTATGGGGAAAAATTGTTTTATCTTCACAGATATCTCCACATTTTTTCTTGGAAGTTTATCTTTTTGATCATTCTACTGGCATTTACATTATTCTGAAAGCTCGTATAGTGTCGTGATAAAAGAAAAAAGCACGTTTCAATCGAATCATTTTGGCTATTAAAAGAAAATATAAAAAAATAAATAAATAAATAAAAAGATTGTCGTAATATAATCGATAATGTTTCTTCAGCTATCTGCATGATCTGGACCACACACGTTTACACCTTTCACCTGGCAGTATCCAATTTATCATTTATGTTCGTCAATTCCCAAAACAACGATATCAAAATTTTTTGTAGATATTTCAAATGTATTTAGAGTATTTTTTTCTGGGTTTAATAATTATGTAAATATTCTTTCAAGACTTGTTTGTGTTCCAGAGGTGCGATACTCACGCAGAAAAGCGCGTTACTCGCCCATAATATGAGGCCTTATAATTCCTCATTTTGCTTCCCGAGTACCAGTTCTGGCATTTCCCACCATATAAATTTTTGTTCTTCAATTAAATGTGTGTTCTATGAGTTGTCTGGTACTCAAATTAGCTGACTAAATTTGTAATATTCTGAAAGTCAAAATAAAAAAAGCACTTTGTGCGTATATCAGTGTTGGTTGTGCCTTTTAGCACTCAAAAAAATGTTTATTATGAGAGAGAGAGAGAGAGAGTATTCTGTTTATATATCTGTCTATATATATATATATATATATAAAATAATCTCACTGAATTCGATACATATTAAGTTTGGCAATAAATGAAAAAAGTAAGTAAATTATGAAATATTATTTTAAGTGAATGCTGTAGTTGTTTGCAATAAAATTCGGTTTTAATGTTATAAAATTAATTTCTTCACTAATATCTTGTAATATAAATGCTTTATATTTTAATTAAATTTAAGAATGAAAATTATTATTAAATTAATTTAAAATAATTAATGCAGCTAGAATATATTAAAGATTAATTACAACGTTGGCTCTCTTCAACATCTTTCGTAATAGGTGGGTTCGAGTGACACGTACAGTACGAATCCCTTACACTGGATTGCAAATTTTTTTTTTATTTATTTAACAGATTGGCTCCCGTTTTATAAATTAAGTTAGAAAAATTTAAGATGGAAACTTTCGACATTTGACAATAGTTTTTGATGGGAATAGTTCACAGTTTAAAACAATAAAACTTTATTTAGAGCCTCACGAGGAAACTTTACCAGGTAAGACGACCAAAATAAAAGTGCTTTTGTAGTAATTTTAGACTCCAATACCAAGCTTAAAAAAGTCGAATAAAGTTACTTGAAGGAAACGTTAACTTGCCGAAACAACCATAAGAACAGCTGCTTTTTATGGGAATTTTAAATGTGTATCTCGAATTAAAAAAAAAGTACTATATTTGGTATTTTAAATATATTATCTTAAGAAACTTAGATGAGAATTTTGGGAACTTTTTACATGCTATGACTCCTTATGAGAATTCGAATACAAAGGTCTGCTATAGGGATAAATATTTATGCTGGAACAAAATACATTAATCAAAAAAATTCTAGAGACACAGTTCGTTATTGGGGAGGAAATCTGTCTACAGGATAATTCCCAGTGTATTTAGAAATAGTAAAGTATACTTATCCTTTATTTATCTCGCATAATGACTACGTCAGTATTTTCTGCATCCAAAATATAAAAAAAACGTGTATCTTTTTAAAGAAGATTAAATACAGGGAGAAAAAAAATGTGAATTTTTATAACCTTTAAGATATTTTTTTTTCAAATTAAAAGAGACATAAAATTGTTTAGTAAACATTAAAAAACATCGCAAAGACAAATTACCGTTCTCCGATTACATTCATTAATGTACAGTACAGTAAAAATTAAATTAAATTAAATTAAAATAGGCGAATGTATAAAAGTTAGTCTTATTTAAATAAATAAATAAATCTTGTAAAAATAAAAAATATTTATAGTAGAGACAACACGGCATTTATGTATAAACAGTATTTTGTAAATTTTTTGCCCTCCAGGTTTTAATCGAATTAGGAACTCATTGAATCAAATTTTCAAAAGAACTTTTCCTTTTGGCATAATGAAATTGCTTTCTTGTCTTCGGGGTGGACATAAAAAAAAAGAAAAAGGTTAAATTCAACAAGGAAAAAAAATATATATATATAATATAACAAGAGTTTAAATAATGACTTTTAGTTTTTGAAAAAGTTTACTATTAGAAAACAAAGAAAAAAATATATATTTAAAATATTATAAATTGTCTAAAGAGATATAACAATTTTTATAAACAGAATAGTGATATATTTTATGAGTTATTAAATCAAAGGGTAATCATTCTTACGTCACAAAATTCGTTATTGTTTAATAAAAGTGAACTTAGAACGGATTTTTTTTATTTATTTATTTTAGTTAATTAAAGGATGGTTCTATAAATTAATAAACTTCCTTCTAAATATTAACTTTTCAAATGAAAGAAAAATGAAGTGTTCATTTTTTTTAAAAAAAACCTTTTTTTTAAAGATATTCAAAATTAACTTTTCCTCAACGTTTTCGTTTTCAATTAACAGAAGAAGTATTTTCGCATATTTGAACTAAATAAACTATGAAAAGAAAAAAAAACTTTAAAAAACGGGTTAGGAATTGTTGCATGGTATGAAAAAAAAGGAACCGGAATAATAAAAAAAACAAACAAACATTTTATTAAGAAAACAAGGAAGGAAGAAATGTTTTATGGTCTATTGAACTGTAAGCAGTAAACGGAGTCCATGGAGCATTGATATTTGACGAATGTGATGAATGCTAAGAGGAAGATATACGATGCAATTCCAACAAAAATGGAAAGCAATCTCCTGTAGAAGAATAGTATGACTTAAGGATGTTCAAAATGTTGATAGGTGTTTTTTTTCTTGGTTGATGGTTACAGGATATAGACGTTCCTCAAAATTAACCATTTTTTTAACTCTACAAACTCGTCTTCACACGTGAAATTTTATTAATTAAAAATCAACGAAAAATATCCAAATACAACTTTAAAAAAAATATGCTATAAATACCGTGAAAATTCAAACAAAAATTGCAAAGAAATTGCCAAGAAAATCGGTTTTAAATTGACTGTCAAAGCGAAAGCATTTTTTTTTAACAAATGATATATTTTTTCAACGTTCTGTATATGACTATGAGATATTTCTTCCTTTGACTCGCCAGACAGACTAATCAAACTAGTGTATAGCGTTGAGAACTGGAGTAAAACACATAACAAACGTAAACCAGTCAAATGAAAATGTGAGAAAATTGTTATACTTACACTAAGCTGTGAGAAAATAAATTTATTTATAACGTTTGAATGGATTACATCCAAAGGCTGGATGCCAGAAAAGGAATGTTGGAAGGGCTTAATTAATACATTAATTTTATATATTGTTAGCTAACTCGATTAGAAATTAAGTGCTGAGCTTTTCATGTATGTTTTAATATATAGGAGAACAATTGATACATCTGAAGAATAAGAAATTACACTGTTGAATTGTTACTTCACTTAGAACGAATACAGTCATTTATAAAACGTATGTAATTATGTATAAATATTTATTTATATTAGTCGATTATTATTATTATTATTATTATTATTATTATACAAAATAAATTCTCGAATTAAAACATTTAATTTTATAATGGTGAAAGTTTTAGTAACATTACAACGATTGAAAATATTCTACATATTTTTAGATGCAATTTTAAATCCTACTTTATGATCTTTTATAGATTAATACCCTGTTTTATGGATGTAGAAATATAAATATTTTATTAATTTTCGTACGTTAAATAAACAAATAATTTTGATTTAATAGAAAATTCCTTCTGGCAACATACTTAAATATGCACATCACGAAGCAATATAAACATTAATCTCCATCAATATAAATTTAATAATAAACTTGTATATTCAGATGAAAGAATTTTATTTGTATGATTGTAAATATTATACAAATGAACGAATAAGAATATATATATTTTTTCTTTTTATCGATACGAACAAAAAAAAAATATATAGATATAGATTGTGCAATGCATAGTATCGTTTGTTAACAGAGACTTCATACTATATATTTTGATTCTGTTATAAAAAGGAGTTCATTTAAATATTAAAATATATATATATATATATTTTTTTTATGCAAGAAAGAAATGGGAAAATGTAATAACAATATTTTTCCTTAGAAATAAATTTCAAATTTTGATTTTACTTCTGTATTGGTTCATTTGAAGGAAGGTTTAAAGGGGAGTAGAACGTATACAAGTGTAAAAAAATAGAAACATTAAATTGTATTTTCTTCTATCTCTTTTGTTTTTTGAAAAAAAAAGACACAAAACAGGAAAAATACAATTTATTTTATTATCAGTTTCACGACAATTTACTCTTTATGGCATTTTTATAGGGAAATAAACACAAATGTATTATTTATAAATTTCAGTTTTCGAAAATGCCACCTTTCTCTATTTTTCGCTGATAGGAACATAAAAATGTAAATTGTTAAACAATAGTTTTAATAAACCCAATTTAAAAAAAAAAAAAAAAATGTTTCCTCTGAACAAAATCTTTTATTTAAAAAAATATATTACAAGTCGACCCCCCTATAACACTGTCGATTATTCCGCTTTATATGAATTCCATGTTGTACGAGTCACTTAGATTTTACAAATACGTAAGCCGTTCACAGCCCGGCACACGTATTTGTAAAATCTAAGTGGCTCGTACAACATGGAATTTATATAAAACGGAATTATCAACAGTGTTATAGGGGGGTCGACTG